TGGTACAATAAATGTCTGGGAGTGTTGGTCACTACTTCCCCTAAGGAGGAAAAAAAAATGAGGATAACTTTGGAGTCTTTGAATGCCTGAGTGAAGTCATGGAGGTATTTAGAAAGTATGACTGTAGAGAGGACCAAATTTAAGGAGAAAAAAAAAAGCTGGTTACACGTTGTTTTCAATCTTCCTTACAAAAGCTCACCTTTCTCCACTTCTTCTCTTTGTAAGAATGAAGTTTCCTTCACCCAAAAATGCATTTTTTCTTCATTCCTCCCACCCATCCTCACAGCAACTGCTACCTACCACCACCTGAAAACTCGTCCCTGCTGTGCCACTCACACTCTACACTGAAGAACTCCTTGCACTAGTTTTAGAACTTTACTGAGATGGTCTTATGAAGCTGTGTTCAAGGATGATCTTGAACTCCTGATCCTTTCTGCCTCCCTATGAGGTTACAGACATGTGCACCCAGACCCAGCCTATAGTGATAGGAACTGAACCCAAGATTCTGTGTATGGCAGGGCGGTGGTGGCACACGCCTTTAATCCCAGCACTTGGGAGGCAGAGGCAGGTGGATCTCTTTGAGTTTGAGACCAGCCTGGTCTGCAAGAGCTAGTGCCAGGACAGGCTCCAAAACCACCGAGAAACCCTGTCTCGAAAAAAAAAAAAAAAAAAAAGATTCTGTGTATGTTAGGCAAGCATCTACCAACTAAACTATGTCCTCAGCCCTGTAGACTTCCTGAAACTATTTCTACCTGTCTCTTTCATCTTTCTGTATCTAATATTCTATACACAAGATGAGAACAGCAGGGTTTCATTAACACATTTAAATTAAGATCTAAGATCACAATTTCTTCACAGTGGCTTACCTTCAGAAAACATTAACAAATAAGACAAAACTGCATATTAAAATCAATAAAAATTAGGTAGATCCATTTATTTTGGGTATATTTTACAAGTATAAGTTTAAAAGGGCTATTTGACAAACCAGCATTAGCCACCAACTCTACAAACATCCTTAACAAGAAAAGGCAATTGTGTTGGCCCTTTGCATACAGGCAGTGTCCTATTGCATATCAAATGGCAGAGATGCAGTGACAGATTTGAGGGCATAAAGGAGTTAGATTTCTACTGCTATTTAGTTGATAAATACCACAGAAACATACACGGATGGGTGTCACCACCACCAGTGATTTACAGAATTGAAACCTATGGGTCTACCTACTTAGAAAGTTGGAACTAGTAAGAGTATCCTGTTGTTATCTATTCATGAAATACTATAGGTTTCTTTGATCCTAATTTCTAAAAGTTGTATGAAAAGTTGGAGAAAGAGACCCGGGTAAGACTGGCAGTACATGCCACGTGAGATCAAGATAGTGCTTTAGAAGATGTTAAGTGTGCCGAGTGGTGGCAGCGCACGACTTTAATCCCAGAACTTGGGAGGCAGAGGCAGGCAGATCTCTATGAGTTCGAGGCCAGCCTGGTCTACAAGAGCTAGTTCCAGGACAGGCTCCAAAGCTACAGAGAAACCCTGTCTTGAAAAACCAAAAACAAAACAAAACAAAAAAAAAAAAAGAAAAGAAAAGAAAAGAAAAAGAAAAAAGAAAATGTTAAGTGCTTACAGTGGGCTTCAAGGATGAACATGGTGACAGAAATGGGTTACAATGTACGTAGTGAGTTTGACAAAGCCTTGGTCAGGACTGCTCTTCCCACAAGATACCTGTGTTTGACCACCAAATACTAAGTTTAGAGCAGAGTTTGGGTTGATAGTTCAGCTTTGGTAAGACAGTGACATATTAAGAATACAAGTCTGGGCTGGAGAGATGGCTCAGAGGTTAAGAGCATTACCTGCTCTTCCAAAGGTCCTGAGTTCAATTCCCAGCAACCACATGGTGGTTCACAACCATCTGTAATGAGGTCTAGTGCCCTCTTCTGGCCAGCAGGCATACACACAGACAGAATATTGTATACATAATAAATAAATTAAAAAAAAAAGAATACAAGTCTTACTGGGCAGTGGTGGGGATGCCTTTAATCCCAGCACTTGGGAGATAGAGGCAGGCGGATCTCTGAGTTTGAGGCCAGCCTGGTCTACAAGAGCTAGTTCCAGGACAGGCTCTAAAGCTACAGAGAAACCATGTCTCAAAACCAAAAACAAAACAAGATTAAAAAACAAAAAAACAAGTCTTACTTACTAATGACTTCCAATAAATACTCAGAGGTATACTTTGGGCACATCAAGTAAAAAGAGCAACTAATTCTAACTGTGGAATAATAACAAGAGGAGGCCTTGCCATGACTGCTTTAAACAGTTTGGACATGTTTCCAGGTCAGCAGTACAAAATTATCTAACAACTTGTAGATTACAAAATGCCCCCTCAATATAACCCAATGCTATTCCAACCAGACACGAGCTGCAGCTGTTAGTCAGATGTAGCCTTCAAGGTATTTCTCATAGGAGTTACTGAACAAAATAGACTTTAGCCAGTTTGCCTTTAGTATTTTTATCAACTTCAGTTTTACTCTAACATTAAAACTAGTCATTCCTTAGACACAACTTTGACATACAAATGGACAATTAAGCTCATTTAACCAAAGTCTTCACTAAATTATGACCAAAAATCCTGCAAACATGTCTACAATAAACTGAGTTTTGAAGCAGAACAAAAGACAGGAAAATGTAAAACTTCTCTCAAGCACCAATAATGGAAGCTATGCAGCTATACGTACACATCCTTAACAGGTCTTTCCTTCTGGAAAATCCTGAGATTTTACTTAAGCACTGCTACTTTATAGAAGGCAGGTTGGTTCAGTGAGGAAACTTACTTTTGATAGTGATATTTTATTTGGGGCACTTAGTATTTCACAGATCCTCAAGTCTTGAGGTAGGTTAAAGATCAGTGTCCTATTATACAAATCAAAACTCACGCAGGCGTTACTCACTTGTCATAAACTGAGTCTGGTAGTCAGGAAGAGCATGGCCACTCTGATTTCAGATGCATCTAATGAACTTAACGGTGTGGGCTTGCAAATATCCATGGGGGGGAAACTAGATACCAATCCTATGGTGAATTACACATATTACAGAATAGTCCATTTGCTCATTACAAATGCATTTACATAAAACTGAGCTGTAAAATTACCAATATGGAGTCTGGAGTGTGTTGCTTTTCTGCCCTTCAGATTGAGTGGAGGACTAATCACTAGTGCGGAACCACAGGAAAGCGGGTACATAAATGTAGCCACAATACAAAATGATGCCTGGATTCCCATAGTGGGGTAGGTCTCATCCCAGCCCAAGATGAAGAGAAAGAATAGTATCAGCTCAGGCTGCTGCGGCTCAATATGCCTCCCCAACACCCCGAGGGAAGAGCTGTAAGAGAACAGTAAATGTGTCCCAATAAAGTGTGCTAATGTTTTCACTAACACATAGACCACAAGTAAAAGTAAAGTGATATTTTATTAAAATGACATGTATAATAGAAACCTAATTTTAATATGTTTTACCTACTACATAAATCACTGTAATTGTTAGAAGCCCAAATTCCCCTAGTTCATTCTAATTACTTAAAATTATTTACCAGAATTCAGCTAATCCTGACAGTTTCCTAGACCAATCTTTTCAACTACTTGCTTCATTATAAAGTTCCCTTAGGGATAAGAGTGTAGTTCCATAGTACAGTGCTTGCTAAGCACATGTAAGACAGTGGTTTGATCCTCAGCATAACAAAAAAACCCTCACAAAAGTCCTTTTATTTAAGCAAGTTTAAAAAGTAAAGACAAGATATAGATATGTATGTTCTCATATAAATGGAACGGCCCAACACAAGTCACAGAAGCAAAAGAGAAAAGATGGGGGTTGAGAAGAATACAGAAGGCAGAGAATGCAAGCCTTTAACTTTAGTATCCTCCAAAGTTCAGTGTGGAAGTAAAAGTTTCTACATTAAGAAAGTTTATATAAATTATATGAATTGTAATTTTTTGTAAGAGTCAAAATGAAATGTTCTGCATAGAACAAAAGATATGCCTAAGCAACATATCATATTTGTACAAGGCCACTGAAAGTCATGAATGTTAGTAACAAATAAAAATGCTTAATTGTGTATCAGGGTGAGTAGATTTTAGTTTGGTATTCTAATAAGCTCAAGATTGTAAACTATTCTTATACAAAAGCAGTAATGGTGGGCAGATTTGTGTAGGAAGTCTTGTGCTTCTGGTTGGCACATTATCTACTTTCTAATATGGTGAAATTAATACAGACATTTGTAAAAGGTTGTGCAAAACTATTGTATTTACAAAAATGGCACAAAAGTGAATGCAATAGTCAGTGCACATGCACACCCATTCACGTCTTCAACAAAGAAAGCTGTCTCAAGACTGCAGAACCGAGGAAGAGCACTACTAGCTTCAATGACAGCTGGTAAGCACTGGAGTCACACAAGTCACAACAGAACGGGCAAATATCGCCCAGGTAAGATGCTCTTGTTAAAGCTGAAACAGCAGGTTTAAGGCCGTCAAGTCCAAGCAGTTATTCAAATCTTTTGCAGCCCATTTACTTGTGTTTGAATTATGTGACTTGTCTTCCAACTTGTGGTCTTAAACTTCTGTCTTACAAAATTCAAAAGGAAAATACAGAAGAAATCAATACAACAGAGGTTCTATTAAATAAGAGTAACATACAAAGCTGTAATTACGAGGAAGTAAGGAAAGCCAGAACATTAAAGCTGTAAAACTTGCTTGCTACTTGTTGGAGCCAGCCCTACACCAGCTAGGTAATATGTACAATTATTATAACGTCAATTACTTAACTTGCTGTTTCATGTCCTTTGCATCAGTGCACTGTAAACTAACCAAAACCTCTACATATGTATGCTCCCTTACGACAGCAGCACACACTACCACTATCTGCAAAGCTGTCAGTCTCGAATGACAGAGTGAGCGAAAGGAAACAGAGAGTGGGGAAGGAACATAGTAAGGAGAAATAAAGGACATTAGAAGACTCATGCAGTTCAGCTCTTTTAATCAGCCAGCCAGCTTGCTAGCAACCAGGGATGGTTTCCGCTGAGGAAGGTCCTGTGGAGTGGGAATGTGGTCACCAGTGACCTCTGTCTTATCCGGGGCTGCAGCAGGAAGCTGCTTGTTCTTCATCTTTGCTTTCGCCATGTTGTAATCCCCAGAATCAAAATACTTTTGCTGCAAACAAAAAACAAAAAATTAGATTAGAGTTTAAAAGTTCTTCATACCATTGGACTGATTTGGATGGAAAAATGAAGAAACCATAGGCCTCTCACACCATGATAGAACTAATGATAGCTTAAGGACAACCAGGGGAATTTGCTTGAGGTCTGTCTGGCTTATATCCATTTCTACTGAATGTCTGCTATATATAAACTAATGTTCAAGAGCTAGTGAGAGATAAAACATGGTCAATTAAAATCAACCATCATAACAACTTTTACAATCAAAAATAAGGTTTGGTCATTAAAGTCTGGGTTTGGCAAAATGAAATAATAAAATGATGAAATGATAGCCTGGATAAATAATGAGCAGAAAAAAATTTCTCAGACTTTAGAGTCCCTAAAATGAAGTAGCTGAGACTCACAGTTAGCATAAGGCTACTGAATGGCCTAGGAAGCAGGTCTTATTAGCTGGCTTCCCCTTTTTGATAAGCCAGATCTGTGCTATGGCCAATGGATCTATGAACAGAAACTACTTTTTGGATAGCACTATACAAGTTTTATATGGAGCAGTTATCAGTGAGATGCAGGCAAGGTTATGTCTGAGGTTGCTGCAGTATCATTTTTTTTTTTTTTTTTTTTTTTTTTTGGTTTTTCGAGACAGGGTTTCTCTGTGGCTTTGGAGCCTGTCCTGGAACTAGCTCTGTAGACCAGGCTGGTCTCGAACTCACAGAGATCCGCCTGCCTCTGCCTCCCGAGTGCTAGGATTAAAGGCGTGCGCCACCATCGCCCGGCTGCAGTATCATTTTTGTATGATGCTTTAAAATGAGTGTAGAATTCTAATGCCTCCAAATCAAGAAGCTGCTTCTAGCTAAGTATGTGTGGCAGACCTGGAATCTCTGCATTCGGGATGTGAAGGCAGGAAGACAGATGCTCAAAGCTTGCTTCAACTATGTGAAACCCTGTCTTAAGAAGGAAAATGGAGCACTGCTGGCATATGGACAACAAAGCAGTCTGGTAAATTTCTTATGTGTGTTACTTAATTACAAAGTAAGAAACTGAACACTACAAACTAAAATAAATAATTATATTTACTTATTTACTGGGATGTGTGTCAAGAGAGTCTATGTGGAGGTCAGAGGACAATTTTCACAGTTGGTTCTCTCATTCCACCTTGTGAGTCATGGGGACTGAACTAAGGTTGACAGGCTCGGCAACAAGATTCTTTATCCTTTCTCATCTTGCATGCCTAAGCACCATAAAATTTCCTCCTATTTAATGAACTCAGTTTCTAACTAGAACTGTTTTATACTAAAAATATCAATCATAAAAGGATCTCATTTAATTGCATTTTGGGATGCTCTGCTGAAGAGAATACACAATCTCAATTTGGAGTCTTTGTGCAGCAGGAATATGAGAGCAAGTCTGAAGTCAGCTTGAGCTACTTAGTAAGCTCCTGCTAGTGTGAGCTATACTAAGACCCTATCTCAAGTAATACAAACTCCTTAAAATCAAATAAAACATACTTTAGATCATATGGAAGGCAATCTTACAAAAGCCTCTCTTATCATTCATTCATTCATTCAAGAAAATGCCTCTTGTAGCCCAGGATGCCTGAACTCTCAAGTACTGACATCACATACATTCCACCATGCCTAATTTCCCACTAAAATTGAGCAGCACTGACACTATGTATATGATTACCTAACATGACAAACTTTAAAGTCATGTTTATTAGAACTGGGTCGTCAGTCTTGGTACTTATCTTACAAATACAGAAAATCATGCGCTAGACTGTTCAAATCCTTACCCACTCTGATGGGCTATAATTCATCATGTACACAGTATTACTATTAAAAGTGCAATGGGAATATTATATAACACTAACTTCATAATACCACCAATAATACAGAAATAGATCTGTATAAAAATACAGAAAAAGATCTGATATGGTAATTAAATGCAATTTAACCCTCTCAAATAATAAAGAAACAAAGTCTCTTAGCTTGTTAACTATCATGGCAGAAGAAAATTGAAATCTAGAACTTTGTGACTCAGACTTTAAAAAAAATTCTAAAACAACAGCAACAACAAAAAAGCTTACTTCATTGACAGTCTGAGAAAATACAGAGCCACTCAAACATTCACATTCCAAATTCTACAGAATTATTTGAGTCAAAGCACAAAAAGCTTATTCCATTGATAGTTTGAGAAAATACAGACTCAAACATTCACATTCCAAATTATATAGATTTGATTCAAGTGGCATTTACTTCATTTCCAACTGTTTACATCTACAATACCAACTTTAAGATACATTAATTCATTAAGAGAGACATACATGAATCTAATCTACATGGGAAGTAGAAAAAGGCAAGATCTCCTGAGTAAATCTGGAGCGTGGGGATCATGGAACAGGGTAGAAGGGGAGGAGGGAGGAAGGGAGGGGAAGCAGAGAAAAATATATAGCTCAATAAAAAAAGAAAAAAAAGATATATTAATTCTGCTGTGGAGAAACCATCTCTTAATTAATACTAATAACCAGTCAAGTGCAAACATGAATTTGATGCCCAGGATTATACATGATTATGTCATAGCTGAAAATATACCTAATCGTACAGTACTGAAAGCAGACAGTACATGAACATTTTGCACAGCTAGATTCCTAATGAATGCAGTTCTCACTGTGAGATTTCTATTTACCTGCTACATGATTTTTACAATCATGATTTTATATAACCACATATTCTATTTTGTTGACTGATTATAACTTAGTATTTCTCTGATGATGAACAATAAGCCTGCTTCTAATTATAGTAAAAGCTTTAAGAGGGGAAAAAAAAGCTTCAAATTTGAAGATATTTTTCTCATACTGAATTATACTCTAAAATTAATTTGTAAGAGATCAGTCAATGTAAATACTTCCATAAATCTCCCATAAAACACTGAAAATTAAGAGTAATGATTTTAATGTTTATACAAAACAAGTTATCTATTAGTTACATTTAATTTCAAACTCAGCAGCAGGAATTATTCTAAGTATTTTCCCACTTTGGCTAAAGTTAGTACGATTTCTATCATGCAAGTAAACAGTCATTATTTCTTCTGTTAAATTAATTTATTTAGAGTCATGTTAATGTTTTTTAAGGTTCCGATATTTGGATTAATTTCCCTACTAGATTCTGTTTTATGGTACAGAAAATTTACATTTTTCTATATTTAACATAATTGTCTATATATTATTTGAAAGATGTGAATCCTTTCATTTCACAAGTTTAAAAACACATTATTTGTTGGTATCTTTAAAAATCACTTTTGGAGTTCAGAGTTGAGAAATAGTTCATATATAACTATGGTGCACACATACAGACTTGTTTTTTATATATAAGCAGTGGATACCAATACACTTAATGTATTTACTTAAAAAGAAATATAAAAATCTAGCATCTTCTACAATAAGTAATTGTCTTCCACATATACTTCATCATTTATTCTCTGATCCTCATATAATAAAGAATTCAAATGTGCTTTAATCCTAATTTTCTAATTTTTTTCAAGCAGAAGGAAGGAGTTGAGAGAAAATTAGAAACAAACGAGTAGCACTACGATTTCAATGCTAAGAGATAATGAAATATTTTCATTAATTTGAACTACTAAGATTATAATGTGCAAATTGGATTAAAGAAACTATGAAGCAAATTAGATGATTTTATAAAGGATCGTAAGCCTCTGGATGTTATGTGGGGCTTGTTTTCTAATAGGTAAGCTTTAGTAAGGGTGGTAGGGTAAAAACGCCAGTTTCTAGACATCGGTTCTTTCTGAAGAGAAGAGGGAGAAGGGTCATAGAGAAAATACAGGGTAGGTTTGAATTATGCCTACAATTAGTTTCTTACAAAGGTGACAATATATCAATAGTAAATGAAGGTGGTGGTTACAGGACTTCTCTTACATTATCATCTGTACTATGCTACATACTTGAAATATTTATAATTTAAAACATTATAATTGATTCTTTTCATACATATTCATGGTATGAGGTATGTAAAATATTGACAAAGACAGACACACGCACCTGAAATACAGAGATAAAAATGCAGACATTCACCTCACAGCCTGTCAGCACATTGAACTCATTTCCCCATGAGGGAAGACATTATTCAACAACTTACCCCTTTCTGCAATCGCTTCCTTAAGAAATCGGACCCGCCAGGTTTTTGTCCCAAGTGTGGGTACCTTGCTTTTAATTTTGCTTCTTCAGCTTTCTCTGGACTAGTTACTTTATCTTCCATTTCCTGAAATAATTTCAAGTAAATTATTTCTATTAAAACTCAGATTTGAAAATAATTCACTTTTTAATATCTGGATTCTGACTTTTGTTGTTGACTGCCAAGTAATCCAGCCTCTGACTAAGACCAAGCAGAGGAACCTTCTAAGCGCCTCTGTCTTCCTTCTCGAATGTCCCATGTGACAGCTCTATTATAGCTGTGATGCATGTACAACACCCCACACACTGGATAAAAATACCGAGACAGCTCAGCTCTCAAGGCTTGCAGTCACTTTCAGTCATGTATAATACATTTCTAGTTAGTCTCCTTCTATGGACTCTTCAGCTCTCTGTCTATATTTACAGAATCTTCTTAATACCACCACAATCTAAGGCCTTTCTGATTTCCTATTTATTCAAAATCATGTAGAATTTTAAACTCCTAAGACTCTTTACTAGACATTAATAGCTGCCCAAACACCAGCATGTTTTTTCCTAACTAAATGAATTCAAAAGACCTTGAAGTCTATAAAGGAGAGGAATATGTTCACTAATCCTCACTTCTGGCTGAATGTGAGAGATTATGCCTTTAATCACAGTGCGCAAGAGTCTGAGGCAGGAAGACTGTATAAAGTTCAAGGCCAGCCTACAGTGAGTCCCTATTTCCTGCCAACAAGAGGCAAATTCCATTCATGTCGAAGAGACCACATATTTTTAGGTATCAAAGTACTTTCTAAAAAGACTGTCATTAAATATCCCCTCCTGGGCTAAGGATTAAATTTGGGGGCACTCGGTTATACCTCTGGTCCTGTCACTGTCTGAAGATCATTTTCTCAAAACCTATCTTGACTTAGCCCACATTCTTCAAAATGCTATCTTTACAGAAAAGAATTTATTCATCATATCATGTCAAAAACAATAAATCAAGAAAATCACAGGCTTCCTATTATGGGAGATTGGGCAGCTGGCAAGGGCAATTTTAGCTATCAGACTCATTCTGAATGGCAAAACCTCACTTTGGCTCATTTTGAATCTCTAAGGTTATTTGTGAAGTAAAAATAGCCAAAATGTTAAATCTATAAATGTCAAGCCAACTGTTCTTACACAGCAAGTAAATAACTTACTTAGGAACCTTTCAATCTCATGTATTTTTTGTTCTTTAGATTTTCCTCAAAATCACATTTATACGTATTCTATTCCCTTCTGTATTACCAACACGTGGCCCTCAACAACTCCTTTATGCACCTCGTTTATGTCTTAGATTATTTTGAGGGAAAAGGTGCTAATGGCAGATACCCTTTGTTTTCTAATCTCTTTACATAAACCTGCCTTTTCTGTTTCAGATGTCCTACTTCTATCTTCTAGGCTGCAGTTTCATATACCTATGTTGACTTCCAATCTCTTACTGTAGCCATTCACACATATGCTTCATACAAAATTTATCTGTGTATTCAGCACAGGTAAGAGTCTAAATAATGATTTTTCCAGTCCTTACATTTAAGAATGGTATGTTCAGCCGGGTGGTGGCGGCGCACGCCTTTAATCCCAGCACTCGGGAGGCAGAGGCAGGCGGATCTCTGTGAGTTCGAGACCAGCCTGGTCTACAAGAGCTAGTTCCAGGACAGGCTCCAAAACCACAGAGAAACCCTGTCTCGAAAAACCAAAAAAAGAATGGTATGTTCAAAAGTTCAAATGTGAGGTATACAATACAAACCCTGGGTAATTCTCAGTGCATAAGCATATCAACACGCTGTTTATTACTGTCACATTTAAAAGCTAAGCCTTCATAAGCCCACTACTTCAGCTGGTATGCAAATCTAGTTGTATGCCCAAGTAAAAACAAAAATTAACTGCAATATCATTCGTTAAGGAGTTTTATATCTGTCTTTGAGACAGGGTTTCATTCTGTAGCTCTGGCTGTTCTGGAACTATGCAGACCAAGCTGGCCTTGAACTCAAAGAAATCTACCAGCCTCTGCTTCCTGAGGGTTGGGGTAGTTCCTAATTTTATGCATGATTTCTGTCTCATAAAGTGTAGAACCTAACTAGGTAAAGATATGAAGATACTGCACTTATGTAAAGCTGGAGGCGCTAAGACAAAAATAAAGTATGCAGTTTAATGCAAGGTGTGCTAGAGCCTTAGCGACATCTAGTGGTTGGCTGCTCACCTTTCACTACACAAATCTACTGCGATCCACTGGCATTCTCAGAACTGCAATTTCAAAGCAAAACTGGATGCGAGAACCTATTACTCTTGGGCTTCCCTGCCCAGTTAGCCCATTTTAAATATTGCTATTGAAAAGGAGCCAAAGGCAACTGCTGCCCTTTAGTCCCAGAACTTTCAAACCTTCCTGTCACAGAATCAGATTTTCTTGGGCCAAAAAGATTACACAGCAGCTAAAGAAGCTTGCCACATAAACTTGGCAACCTGAGTTTAATCTGTCTCTGATGGTGGTTGATGAGAACCAGATCCTGAGAGTTGCCTTCTGACCGTCACGTGTATATTGTAGCACACATGCACCCACACTCATGCTCACACAAGAAAAAAATGAGGCTAGGCTGGTGGTCTACATATTCAGTTCAAGAGGCACGTCCACACAGAGACATTCTCATTCTCTCTCATATTCTCTCTCATATTCTCTCTCTCTCTCTCTCTCTCTCTCTCACTCACTCACACACACACCCCAAACCCACTTCTTTTGATAACTACTTGAACCTAGGACCTCAAAAGTTTGAGACCAGGGGCTGGAGAGATGGCTCAGTGGTTAAGAGCATTGCCTGCTCTTCCAAAGGTCATGAGTTCAATTCCTGGCAACCACATGGTGGCTCACAACCATCTGTAATGAGGTCTGCTGCCCTCTTCTGGTCTGCGGACATACACACAGACAGAATATTGTATACTGTATACATAATAAATAAATAAATATTTTTAAAAAAAGTTTGAGACCAATGAGACCTCATCTCAAAACAAGGAGAGGACGACAGGGAGAAGACAGAGGTGAGAGGAAGTGAAGGGTGGAGGAAGAAAGGGGAATCTAATTCTTGAATGTCCTTGCCAATACGTAACACATTATCAATAAGTGCTGCTAGTACAATTTCCTAGAAGTCAAACTTTCTGTATTCAATAAGAGAAGGAAAGATATGAAAAGACAGACCTAAACTACACTTTAAAACAAAGTGAAGCACTATCAAGATCCACAATACTTTTCATGAACCATACAAAACCATTCTTAATCTACTGCAGAAGTTTTAGGACCTTACATTAAATAACTCCAAGTTGCTGGACTTTCACTAACATTCTAACACAGCTATAGATTTGCTTATATAGATATAAACGTGTGGGGGTGGGGTGCTGTGGCTGCTGGCATTTAGCCACGATTGCTCTGCTCTACATGCTTCCCCAAACAGTACAAATAGAAAGCTAAAACTACATTTTCCAAACTGTATTCCAATGAGGTAGCAATGGTAGCTACAAGAACCCATTCTTCTCTTGATCATGCTGCTACAGAGCAGCAGGCCCCTGTGAGTTCCTCCAGTGGGGTATTCACGGATAATCAAGGGGTCTTATAGCAGCTACATGGCAGTGGGGTAGAAGATGGCAGGCTCCAAACAGGACTTACTCCTACAGTCAGAGACATTCTTCAATCTCTGCCTCTGGAAACATCTCTTTATTTCTCCCTCTGTCCTTCCAACCCTTTCAAGAATTTGTAATCTAGCACCCCAAACCATTTCCTTTCTCTTTGAACTATGTCAAGTAGCTTTTGTTTTTGTCCTCTTCATACGATGCTTAATAAAAGTCAAGTGGAATAATTTATACCTGTAGTTATGCTAAAAATGGAAGAAGACTGAATTTGCTATGAACATCAAAGACATTCTCGAACATTTAATTGAGCTAAGAAAGAAAACAAACTGAAGAAGGGAGAAAAAGATTTGAGATAAAGAGAATGAAATATAAAACAAACAAAAAAATAGGTTACATATGCATCAAATATTTATACCCTAGATGTCTTTTGCAGGAGGGGGTAAAGGGAGAGATTCAGGGTCAGGGATGTCGCCTGCGTCAGAGAGCACAGAGGCCCTAGACTCACAATTTCCTGCATCTGAGAGGGAAGGAGGTAGGCAACAAAGGGCTGGGGTGTGGCTCAGTACAGAGCACTTGCCAAGAATGGGCAGGGCCCCGGGTTCAATTCCAAGTGCCGCAAAAACAAAATGAGACAAAAAAGAAAAACATACATCAGGATAGTGTTTTTAATTTACATGTTGTAATGTGGAAGTCGTGATGGGTTTATACTGACTGTCAAAACATGACAGGAACCATAATCTCTAGGTATATCTGTAAGGGAGTTTATAGATGGTTAATTAGGTAGCAAGATCTACCCTAGATGTTGTCAATATCATTTTATAGGCTGGGGCACTAGACTGAATTTTAAAAAGGAAGTGGACTAAAGAGATGGCTCAATGGTTTAAGAGAAGTTATACAATCACATACCATCACAAGGACTGGAGTTTGGACCCTAACACCTATGTAATAAGGCACACATTATACAAACACTTGTCACTCCAGCTCCAAAAAATGTAATGTCCTCTTCTGGACTTCATATATGCACTTACACACATGTTCTCACACGCGCATGCGCGCGCGCACACACACTAAATATGAGAAGAGGATAAAGGGAGAAAGAGAAAGATGAACACCAACATTCATCTCTGCTTCCTGGCTATAGCTGCATTGGCTCATGCTACCATACATTCCTAGCCATCATGGTGTATATCCTCAACCTCTGAGCAAAAGTAAACCCTTCCTTTAATCAACTTTTTATCAGATATTGAGTCAGAGCCATGAGAAAATAAATTAATACATATGTGATCTTTTATTGTTTTCGGGAGGGGTCTCTCTGTGTAGCTGTCCTGGCACTTGTGCTATAGATCAGGCTGCCCTTAAACTCATAGAGATCTGCCTGCCTCTACATCCTGAGTGTTGGAATTAAAGGCATGTGCCATCACCACCTGGCTTGCATCATAAAGTTTT